AGAAGTGCACCAGTGTTCCTGTTCTACAAAGTTCTGTTCTTAACCGTTTGCTTTTTTTATATATAAATTTAATCTTGTGTATCGTTTGTGAAGTTACTGTGAGTGCACTACATGAGGATGTAATACTCGCATGAAGCGAGAATAATTTTGAACTCGGTTGATTAAATATGTATTGTATGGAGGATTATAATAAGCAGACGTTTACAACTCTTTACTGCTCATTTCAGCTGTTCTGGCTCTGCACGTCTTCAGCTTTTTATTACTGATTTCAGCTTCTTTCAACTCCTTTCTGCTTCGTTCTGCTAATTTTATCTTTTTGTGCTCTTTAAGCTACTTTGGAGGTATTATTCTGCTATTTTTGTTTTTGCTTATTCCTGCTTTTTGCACTTTTATCGAATTGTTTTATTTTATTTTTTGCTCTTTTCAGTCGTTTTTTGTGCTAGTTTTATCTTTTTAAGCTTTTTCAGCTACTGTTTTTGCTAACTGCAGCTTCATTTTTCTGTTCAGCTCCTTTTGAAATCTACCCCCCCCCCCCCCACTCCTGCTCATCTTATTCTGCTCAGTCCTGCTACATTTCTGCTCTCTTCAGCTTTTTCTACACGTTTCTGCAGTTTTTCCACTGATTTCAGCTTTTCTTTTCCTGCTTTCAGCAAATGTCAGCTGTTCAGTAGTTGATCAGTTAGTGATGAAACCTTTTCAGCTGGTTTCAGCTGCATCTTTAAGGCCTTCAGCTCACAGCGCCCACAGTTCAGCGCTCTGAGGAGCTCGGTTGGAGTTTAATGATGTTCAGCTATCATCTTGGCATCTCGAGGATTTAGTCTCCTGATCCTGTCTTCTGTTGACGTCCTCTGCTTTTATTGAAGATCTTGCCTAAATAATCCAGCTGTGTCCTGATGTGCTTCCTGTCGTCTCCTGCAGCTCACAGAGAGACGTCAGACGACTGTCAGAGCTGTCTGGAATGCTCGCAGGACAACGGCTGCGTTCGCTGCCCCGAGCGGCTCTTCCTGTCCCTGCAGAGGAAGGGGATGTCCCACCACGGGACGTGTCTCCACGCCTGTCCCGCTGGACACTTTGGACAGAGAGGGAGGGACGTGAACCGCTGCATGAGTATGTTTCTTCCTTTAGTGATGTTTAAGTTCAGGATTCAAGCTTCCAATTCTGGAGCTGGTTTAATAAACATATTTTTTAAATTGTAACATTTATTATTTATTTTACGGGTTTTTATCCCAAACAGGTGAAACAGGAAGTCTGGGTCTGACCTTCTCTGGGGGAACAAAACAGATTTTTGCTCATTTTTGTGGAGCGTTGTGAAAACGCAATCCAGTTGTCGGTTCTGTTGGTTCTCGAAGAACTCGTTAGGGACGACTCTCAGCTACTACCACACCAAGTTTACTGCCCAAATGACTGAGTAAGCGGTGACCTTGTACACGTACATCCAGAGATTATGTTCGATACTTCCACTGAAATCCATCTAGCGGTTCAAGAGATATTTTGCTAACACGCCAGACAAAAAATAATAATAATTCCCTGCCTTTGTGCCCATCATCAAAGATGTTTTTTTTGTCTTTTCTGCTAGCCACAGAGAGAACACGGTGCTTGATTAATAATATAATGGATTAGTGGTTAGCACTGTTGCCTCACAGCAAGAAGGTCCTAGGTTTGATCCCCGGTTTGGAGCTGGGGTCTTTCTGTGTGGAGTTTGTGTGACCCTCGGTGCAGTTTCTCTTCACTGGTATGATGAAGCATGAGTAACATCAGGTCACAGACACAGGACTGCTCTTCAGTGTTCTTTGCTGCAGGGATCTGGTATAACAGCACACAACTGATTTGTGTGCTGTTATACCAGATCCCTGCACACATACTGACAGAATGTGTGACAGCTGCAGGGATCTGGTATAACAGCACACAACTGATTCGTGTGCAGGGAT